GAATTGAGACGGTCATCCAAAGTCTAGTCTGATCAAAATAGATCTAGTTCATCCTGAATTGGTATTAAATCTCTGATCCCTTAGACACCATATTAATAAATCGGAATATAAAGGAGAAGAAACTAATCAGTCCTTTCCACAAAACAGGAAGGGAATGACAAGAATTAGCTGATAGCGGCTGATAACCAAAGTGAAAGTAAAGCCCATATACAGCCTACAAACCGGAATAATGATACTTCACAGAATCAAGTGGAAACTGTATTCAAGAACTCGGGGTGTGCGATAGACTTACCTCCATGTGGTGCACCCTGTCAATAAACCGGCAGTTGACATCTGACTTCAAACTACCATCACCCCACTGTATGTCATATTCGACTACTCACAGTACTCACCTCACCTTTTTTCTACCTTTGTCTTTAAAACACTTCTGTCCCCCCTCTCAACTTTTTACTTTGATGTTCCTTCTCCTCTGTGAAGCCCGAAGTCAAGAACGCAGTCAATAATGAACGTCTGCAAAGTGAGGTTACGAGATCAATATTCATCAGAGCAGAATTCAGTGGTGTAAATGTCCAACTGCGCCGAGTGGCGGAAAGTGAGTTAATGATGAGATAATGAGCTTAGGAGGTTCTACTCGATGAAAAGCAAACTAATTGGCTCTAAAATGCATGGAAGTAAAAAATACAATTTCATCCTACACAAGTGCCTTTTAACTTATAAATCCCACTTTTTCGTAGCATGTCTACTCTCAATGATTCGACTCAAAATTGCTCAAGTTGGTCTTATTTTCTCACTGAGTCAAATGGAGAGTCACGTGTAAATAGGCGCATAGATACTTCAAAGTGGAGAATTTAGTTCCGCGGGCTTTATAACGAAAATGACAGGAGACTACAATTAAAAAGCGAAACAACTTCTCATTAAAGGGTGTGCGGTAGACTTACCTCCACGTGGTGCATTCCGGACAACGCATACTCATACGGCAAAAATGTCTTTTAACTGACAGTTGACTTCTGATTTCAAACTACCATCACCTCAATGTACGTTACATTCGACTACTTCCATAGTACTCAACTCACCTTTTTCTACCTTTGTGTTTGTCTCTTAAATCTTTGAAACACTCTTCTATTCCCACCCCCTTCTGGACTTTTCACTTTGATGTTCATTCCCCTCTGTGAAGACTGAAATCAACTAAAGAGCTAATGATAGCCATCAAAACACCTGCCATCTGATATAAATGAATAAATACTTCTCATTATTTTGGCTTGGCAATTTAAGTCTCCATTAGCTATTACACATGCGAAATCATACATTTTTAGTAAACAAAAATGGCTTACCATGGGTGTGTTGAAAGGTCGATTTCCCCAGCCAGCACTTCCACGCAGATGGTTGAACCTGGGTCTAGAGAGAGAGGAATGAAAGAGTGGTTTGTGGTTAATAAGCAATTTTCTCCGCCTCTGCTGATGACTACTTCCGTCGAATCGACCACGTCTCGATCTGCTTACATGATAATCCCCTCTAAACCTATTTGAATATATGCAGAGTGGCTGAGGATTAGGGCATTAAGTAATAAAGCCATAGCAGAGCACTTGATGATGGAGCAGATAGCGAAATTGAAATAGCCAACAATTCCCTCCCCCATGGGTAATAAACGTTGTTCAGGTAATGGTACAATTGGTAAAGCATCGTGTGTCTGGTGTACCCTGGGGCATTGGTATATTTAATAAACCCAACTTATTTTTTTAAGAGAGGGAGGCGCGGTGCGAGAGGTAGAGGGAAACTGTTACTTATTCACCTAAACCGCCCTTATGGCGAGGTAAGCGATGCCAATCCAGAACAATATTTTAAAATGACCAAGGAAACGTATAAAGTTCTCCACTTATTGAAAGACCAGAATTCTGCACAGTTTCCTTTGATATTGCGAAAATAAATGTTAGGAATAGAACTTTCCAGTTTTGAAGAACAGGAAAAGACATTATACTCCTCTAGCCGTAAAACGCCTTAGTTCCTAAGCCATGCACTACTCTTATCTCTTTCATGGTCCTACATCTTAAATGGCTCAACCATTGCATTCAACAACTCAACTACTCTCATCCACTATTCAAATTTGTTCCCTAAATCTAATAATAAATTATCGATTGAATAGTCCAATTAGCCTCTATTTAAGTTAACCTCAGACCGAAAGCTTTCAGACCTTACGAATATGGCATTAAAAGTTATGGCCATTGTCAGAGAGGTGCTCAGTTGATCGAATAATCCCGGAAGCAAGTGACTCAGGAGCGCACACTCTTGTCTCCTCTTTCAGTAACATTTACGACTTTGGAAGGAAGTAGAAAACAAACCTGGATGACAGGTGTTAAACATCAACAGTACTTCATGGTGAAGATAGCAAAGAAGTAAAAGGTAAAACAGCCGTTATTTTTATTTTTGACCATTCTGAATGCAAGGTTACCCTGACAAATGAAGAGAGTATGGATATGAACGGAAATATTTCCCGAATATGACCTCTAGAATTAGAGATTACAAGTGAGAACATGATTGAAATTTAACAAAAATATGTTAGTAAACTCCACAACAAGCTTTCTTTTCGGTGCTTTCGATATGATCGACACAAAAAGGAAGCCATCATATTAAATATATCTCCAGGCTATCACGGTGTAACAACTGATCAATAAGCGCTGAATATTATTGTGTAGAAGTCGCTCAATAATCCATTGAAGTTGAATTTAGAACGTGAAGAGAATTAAGAGGTAAAAAGTGAAAGAGGAAATACTCTTTTGATAAGCTTCACTCATTGCCAGCACCTTTGGCATACAACCAGACACCTATTCTCAGCAGATTCAGCGCTTTTGTTGAGAACAACAAAAAATAGTTGCATGAATTGCTTCCAAGAAAACTTACCCGGTGCCCCTTGGCATACCGCCACCCCGAGTGGAGCTTGAACCCGGCCGACCAGGACCAGGAAGGGACTTGTGATAGAAAGGACCGGTGGTGGGGAGGGGAGTGGGTTGTGATGAAGGTTGAGCGATAGACTCCTGAGTCACTGGGATGATTTTGCTCGAAGCCACAAATGCCTTGTTAGTCACAGACTCGGTTGGTGAATCTGGAGTGTCGGTAGGGGCTTTGATCAACTGAAATAGAAAGATACAAATGCTATTAAATCATGCTTCTGTCTAAAGACCCGCGACTCTTCCCTTCAAATGTCGGGAAAATTCGAGTTCATAAAGCCAGGAATTTAATGCCTTCAATTCAAACGAATTTGGAAGGGAATTATGTGGGTGTTAGTAATTAGTCTAAGTACTAACAAACACTGAGTGATAATTGAAACGCCTGACCCATAAAATTACTTTAGAAGGGAGAAGGAAGACTGATAACTTACAACGAGGTGTGAAAGTAAGCTTTCGTTCTTCCAAATTCACTAATGATTGTACAAAGCACTCAGTTCCCTCCTCTACTACAACTACTCTAAATGAGGGATGCCAATTATAAGTGAAGGAAAAAAACAGCGGAACTACATTGTGTTTAATTCTGGAATTCGGGAATCATTAAGAATGGATCCCCAACCGAAAAAATAAAGTACTGTATTCATGAAGTAATTTTTAAACCAATATTCAAGTTAAAAAGCACATTTTAGCAACACAAAAGGTTTAAATGTTACCAGACGTTTTCTTCTCCTTCCTTCACTATCGTGTAATAACCTTCCAAGCCAATAATAAATCAAATTACATCACAATCAAAATATCTCAAAATAGCCGCAGCTTTGCAAAAAGAATCACTTCGCTACTGCCAACCCAAGGCTTGTCTTCCGATAATATTTACAAAAATAAAACATTACTGAAATCATAATAAGTAGCGGTGGTATTAAGGGCCTGTATTGAGAAGTGACTTACATCACTAGAATTGACTGGCTCCACATCCATACTAGCAGGCGGTGTTTGGGAATCAGAGTGCGTGTCAAGAGCTAAAACAGCATCAACTGCGTTGTCTTCGGGTTCTTTGCCTGGATGAGCATCGGGTACGAGAACGCCATGTTCACCAGAAGAGTCCTCCAGTGTGGCGATTCGAGGGTCTTTCAGATCATAACCCGAAAGGTTAGGAGGTGTGGATTTGAGCCTTTTAGTTGAGGAGGATGTACTGCTACTACTTCCGCCACCTCCAACACTAGGTTTATTTGGGGTAGCCGTACTATTGTGAAGAAAAAAAACATGCCACCATAATCTCCTGCAAGCGAGACAAAGTTAAGTAGTGAGCGCGATCTATCATGCTAGTGGATACTGGAGAATAGGAAGTTGGCTAGCAAGCAAACAACCCTACAAACTAGTTTTAAAACAGATGCCAACACGAAGACAACACGTGTGTGAATGATGGAGCAGTTAGAAGCAAAGATTCCTGATAAAAAGAGCTTCAATCCCCTTTAATAGCTTGGATTGAAGTATGCATTATTGCAAAATAATTGTACTCTTTAACGCTACTTCATCCATCCTTGTAAGCTAGTTTTTTTTAATAGAGGGAGGGAAGAAACTGGAATTGGATAACGAAAGTCTGCCCAAATAATAAGGGGGCGGAGAGCAAAGGAGATGCAAAAACGTTTTCTTGCGCTTATAAAGATATAAGGACGTCTTTTCTTTCATCTTATCTACAAGAAGCTAGCTCATATTTCTTCAATCCTACATTGTAACTAGTTATGCTTCTAACCTTGATTTGTAACTCGGAAATTCGACCAAAGAGAGCACTTTCCGACACTGAAAGTAAAGAGGTGCAACACATTATGTAATCCACATAGCGACAAACTCAAATATTTCTTGTCCATTGCACTCACTAGATGTGCCACAATGTAAGCATCTTAAGAAGACCCCCCCCCTCCCCCCTCCCCCCTCCGAAACTTACTCGATTATTTAGAGCGAGCTTTTCCAATGCTGACTTAACGTCTAAAACAAAGCCTAGTCAAATTAAACCTCAATAGGCACTTCAGATAAAGCCGTTGGTTTAATTATTTTGAGACGATGTGCTGTGGAGGCAGAACTTACGTGCTAAACTTCTCAAACAGATTTTCACTCGAGTCCACCAAAGGCAGGGTATCATCAGCCGAGTTAGTTCCATCACCAGCGGAATAAGCATTCATCGAGGCAGAACTCCCAGAAATCGGTATTTGTTGTGTCTGTGACTGTTCCACGGCTCTCTTCTCCCTTAGATTCTCCACAATAAACTGCAGTGATTTCTGTGGTGCTTTGGTTGTAGATGAGGAGGATGAGATAGCACTTGATGCTGAAGCAGCTGTAGCCTGTGGTACAGTTTGATTCGCATTTGGATCCTCTTGGCTATTATTCATGGAAGGTGAAGGATTTGTATTAGATGTTGTAGATAACTTTCTCACCTTAGGAATCTTATAGCCTTTTATCAATCGATTTGTTCCATTGCCACCTCCTAGTGAACCTGAGAGTTCAAGGGGTTGTTGTGACTCCTCTAGCAACATAAGTCTGTGCCGCTTTGGTTCAGAAGCGCCACTACTTGTTGACAGGGTTTTTTTCTTCCCCGTCTTATTCTTTATCAGCCCGTGTTTCTTTGGTGATGATTGAGTTACAGGAACTGCGTTGGTGGCAAGGACTTTCGGAGAGGAGATGGACATCACGAGAGATGGTTGTGATGATGATGATGATGATGATGATGATGGCATTGAGATTGCTTCCTTAGACTTCGAGGAAATTCGTTTCTTTCGCTCTTTTTTGGGGGGTTGTGGAGTGGCTGATGTGGTTGGTAGGTGCTGCCGCATTTGTTTTAAGTAGGCAACAGGCTTCGATTCCACCGTTTTAATCCGTGGTTTCGGAAGCGAAGAAGCCTTCTCCAACACAGGATTGCCTCCTGCCGAACCCGCTCTATTTGTCTTGATCACAAATTTGAGATCCGATTTCATCTCTGTAGTACGTTCTGATGTTGTAATCACCTCATTAAAAACATACGGTTGAGGTTTCGGTTGAGAGGGTGGTGGAGGAGGAGGAGGAATATGTGAAGATTGTGACGGTAGAGGATGAAGAGGGGTTGCACTTGTCGTTGACGAAGTCGAGGCAGGAGGACAATCCTCAAAATCATAGACAGACACCTTAGCAACAGGAGGAGCATTTGTCGGGGGTGGTGGTTTCGAAGAGGAGATCGTCGTTGCTTTAACCGAAGACTGTTTCATATTCTCAATTGCAGTAGCACGCGTGGGAAGAGCTGAGATGAAAGACGCTGCCAGTGGCTGTTCCGCGCGTCTCCTTCGACCCTTTCTCGAAGAGGGGTCTGAAGGAGTGATTGAGAGTGGTTTGATAGCTGCTGCTGCTCCCGCTGCTTGTAGTGGTTGGTTGGGATTCACAGTTGCACCGCTACTGCTGCCTGCATTCATAATGCTACTACTGCTATTATTCGAAGCAGAGGAGGTGAGAAGATGGTTGAGAACGTCAGAACTGCTGCCTGAGGATTTGAGATAGACAGGGGGTGTGTGTGCGGAATGGTTGCTATTTGGGAGAGGGGAGGCAGAGGAAAGATTCTGCTGCTGGATAGCTGCTGCCACGGGAGAGGAGATGATACGATTTGACGGTATTGCCGATGAACCCACATGGGGAGGTGGAGGTAAACTCTGAGGGGAACTTTCCTCGTCAAGAAGGCTCACAAGCATGGAAGAACCACAGGAAGCCGGTGTCTGTGGTTTGAGAGAGTGGTTTGTGGGAGTGGAGACGACTGGTGGCCGCATTGATGGGACTGATTGAGCAAAGGAGGGGGTGACCATTGCCCCGGGAATTATTGGCATCGATCGGAAGCCCTGGTTATCTAATGGGAAGAGGAGGGAGAAAAGAAGCACTTCAATCTAAAATGAAGCCTCAAACGATCAGAGGTAGCATACATAAACTAGCGATCATACCGATGCCGTTATCCTTGTCACTTTCCTTTAAGAAAATCATTAAAAAGGCTTAGCTTGAGGGTATTTCATGTTCATGACTTCAAAAGCCAATAAAAATATGCGAAGTTAGACCTAAAATGGGGTAGTAGGTTCGATTTTCACAATTAGAGAATGATAATAAGTAAACAGATGTTCTAGTTCAACTGGTGTCCGGGCACCGTGAAGGCAACAGATCTGTAATCCTTTATTTAATGAAAAAGTTGCCTTGCCTTATTTATGAGCAATACATTCCACTGTATTGTCAAGGACAAGAGCGTCTAACATCAAAGCAGACAATAAAGACGCCAGATGGACATTGGTTGTTGCCTAACTTTCACCAGGGCTACAACGCCCGCAAAGCATTAAACCCGTTACTGGCATTTACAGGCATGTTTACAGTCCGTTCGTGTTAATCCTACTTGAAAAGATTATAATGGCCAACAGAAACCAGAATGGCCTACAGATTCTGCTGTTGACGCATTGAAATATCCCAGGTTGAACTAGATCCTAGGTCAACTGATTTTTTATCCAAATTACATCCAAACTCCCATGTCCTTGCTAAAACCAGGAAGTACACCTGAAGCGCACTGATGAACTAGATGACAAAGATGAGTGGAGGAACAAATGCGGTTCCTTGTTGTCGCTACAGCAGAGTTCGCTCTTTCTACGCCAAATTGCTAGAGGGAAAGAGAAGAGGATCCTTTACGACGCGGTTAGTGGGGAAAAGGTCGGCTGTTGAATTTGGTGTGATGAACGTGGAGTAATCCGCTGTCAATGGCAAAATCGGAGCAAAACAGTTACAAGCGACGCTCAGTATTGACAACAGATCGGAAATTTAAGTAGAAATAAGAAGATAAATGGTCAAGCATATTTGATAGAGAACATGACAATTTTCACCATCCTCTCACAATTCAAGGATAGGCTCTGAAAAATTTAGGGGATTAAAATGGGAGGCTCAAGCATATTCTCCAGATTTCGCCACATCTCATAATAAGTTTTGCAGGGGTATGGAGCATAATCTACGAGAAAAACGACTTCAAAATGGGACTCAGGTTAGAAATTACTTGAACGAGTATTTTAATTAAAAAAATACTTCGAAAAGGGATGTTATTTTAAAATTAGAGCTTTCTTGTTGATACTTCCAATATTTCAATTCTAACAGAGAGACCAAACTGAAATCCGAAACTCATCAAACAAAATGAAGATGGAAAACTGGGACTCACTTAGAGAGGATGTTGGGAAGGCATCATCAGGCACCTGCTTGGATGTGGATGCAGAGGAGCTTGAGGGCTGATCTGCAGTTAAAGCACTGGGTGGAGTGGTTGCCATGACACCAGGTGGCAGTAGGGACGATTTTGACACTTGAGGTATCTGCTGAGTCGATAACTGCGGAGGTGGAGGAAGAGATTGTTGAATCGGTTGCAACTCCACTGGCCAATTGGGAGTCGCATTTGCTAAGGGTTCGTAAGGGATCCCCTCCAACACATCTTCACCTAAAAGGAGAGCTTCACCGTCAGCCAAAGTCTCCTGGGAGATAAAATCGTATCCGGATAAAATCCCATCCGCTGCAGCGTCATTACTGAAGTGAAGTTTGCTTTTAACTCTATCCAGTAACTCCCTCGCTTGTTGACCTGGCGTGAGCTTTTTGCTGCTGCTAGACCCTTTGGCTGCCCTTTTAGAAGTAGAACTGTCCTTCCAAGGGAAGAGTTCAGTGAGCATCTTGGTAGCAGGACAACCAAGTCGAATGAGGAGCCATGTCATGGCAATTGGAAGATGGAGCGTCTTAGAGAGAATGGTCGTTGGATTAAACCACTCCTCGTTTCCCATGTTCTCGTCGGGATTCTTATCAAATATGCAACGCATATACTCCGGCACAACAGCCCCACTCACTCGTGCTCCTGATACTCCAAGGTCACCTATGTCGATTGTTACTTCGACAACCCGTGTATCCCAAAGTGGATGCATTAGGCTGACGACAAACGTGTTTTGTGAAGGCAGTCCCACTTTGAAACGAAACGTTAACTCCGGATCTAAATAGCAAAATATAATATATTTTTAAAACAACTGATATTGGAATAAATAGGCTGGAAGGAAAACAAAAACGCGTACCCTTAGTGAAGTTATACTTAGGATGAAGCATAAATGTCTCCACAAAGGATAGCCAAGAAGCTCTCTGCCTGAGCAATTGTATCAACGGAGGCAATTGACTTGGACACGTAAATGCAATTTCATTGACAAAGTAACCTCGAAGATTATTAGGGAGAACATGGTATGTGTGTTGAGCTCTGTATGGCAGTAACTAAAAGTCAAGGAAGTTAATTTTGCCTTTCAAATTTGACTAGAAAATATTGGGGGAAATAAGACCTACGTAATGGGGATCAATTGCAAAAAGACCGTCTTGTTCATGTTGGCACAGAAGAATATATCGCAATGGCTGGGGTTCTTGCTGTCTTAATGAATCCATTGGAATTTCTGTTCAAGAATTATAAAAAGGAAGCATGTAGAGTAAATTATAAGTACCACAAAGGGGTAAAAACAAAGACGACCAAAATGGTGCAGCACTCACTTGTGATAGCTTCGACTTCTGCAATCGAATCGAGATCAAAGAGGAGAGGAGGATTGAGCTTGAGGAAAAACTCTGCAGCCAGTGTAACCCTTGTTATATTATCCGCTGTTGTAAACTGTGCAACACTAAAAAAGAAAAAAGGAATGAACTCCAATGAACCAACACTTTCTTCAAATAGACAATTAATTGGGGAGTTGTCTTGCCCCAGCGATGAGGGATAATGCGTTTTCTTGCTAGACTGGCCTAAAATATACAGCAAGCGCACCTTGTGAACTTTAAATTGGAATTTTAATAACCTCACACCAAGATTCCAAGATTGGTTTGCCACTTATTATCTTAGTGGGGGGGGGAGGGGGGGGGGGGGGGGGGGGGGGGGGAATACTGAACGATGGGCGATGCCAAGGCAATTGATGAAAAGGAAATCACAATGACCCACTGAAAATAGGCAACTCTAAATCACTCCCAGATAGCCCATCACAAAGCCTAAAGATGAACAACCAATGAGATCAGTTTGCCCAGTAGCTGGATAATAAACACATTTTGGAAAGCCAACTTAAAGTTCACTTAAAATCAGGCCACCTCAATTTTTGTTTCTCCTACGAAAAAGATATTTATGAGGGAGAACTTGATGGAATTGAGAGGCTTTAGAAAGCTAAACAATATAATGACTCAGTAACACAAATAAAGCACGCTTTCCTCAATCCTCTGACACCTATTGTGCAGATTTTCTAGCATGTACCAGGGCTGTCTTTCCAAAGCTGTGCCTACTTTGAAAAGTTGAACAACTTTTTCCGCACTTCGTCATCGGTAATGAGAGCAAGCGCATCTGGTGATCCACAATTCAGTGTGGTGTAGTTTCGGAGATCTATTTAACAAATCCCACAGAACTAGATAGGAGAGTCATACTGACCAATTACAAAAGAATCAGATGATGCTTACTCACACGGAGATTATGATTCTAAATGAACTATTAAAGAGAATAATGGAATGTGTTCCCCAGGCAAAGAATGGGGCAACCCAGCCATGCAGTAAAAGCCAGAAATGATGCAAATTTAGAAGTGGAAAGTCAAACATCTAGGACACAACGCTCTCAACATGAAGTCAATATGCCCACTTGAAAAGTCCTGCTTTCTGGCCAGCTGAATTAGTGAAAATATGGCTTTTGCCAGAACTACTCACCTACAGAAATTACAATTGGAAAGGTATTTAAATGTCACAGAAAACTTGACAATGGTACTCGAGCTTTGTAGACGATAGACAATCGATAATTTTGTGGAGGAAGTCTATTAACAGTCGAAATACCGAACACCGATTGAGCTAAATGGATGCCCATTTGCAGTGAATTTGTTTCGGAATTAAAGTACTTCGAGATAGAATATGCAGTCAGAGTTGAAGAAAGGTGTCCTCTTGACACTCATAAGTAGTGACCTTAAAAAGTACCTGATGAGGAAATTTGAAATTTGCCATCCATTTAAAATACCAACCTTATATCAACATTTCGATAGCTCGTGCACAGTCTGATGTACCTACGTCGATGAGTATTCCCTCTTCGTTACCTCCAATTTTGCAATCTTAATTGGCATGAGTATACCTTTACTTGGAAAGAGAATGGATGGCTGAATTAAGCAAAATATCCTAAACACAAGTAATCAAGTTCCAAGCCTTTTTTAGACATAGGAAGAGGATTGTGGAATCTCCTTGATAAGCTCACATTCTATCGTTACTCTCTTAACCAATTCGTGGCATTCACTGGGCATGTCCCAGTGACTTGGCCAAAGCCCCAGTGGCGCAAATAGAGTCATGGAATGAAATGTTAGTGAGCGTACACTTTTCCATATAAGCTTAACAATGATCAGAGGACATATGATTACCTCTATCTTGTGGGACACGTCATCGCATGCCTACACGCCAGGATTGAGAGGTATGACCGTACAAACAGTGACCAATCATTAACCTCTGTTTGT